GATCGGCTTGGACTTGGACTAATTCGCGGAGTCCGGCCGAACTTCCATATTATCCCAACTTCCAGGCATGCTAAAGGTCAACGGTCGCTTGGAGACACAAACTATACACTCACATCCATCACCATTAACAGGAAATTGAAAAGTTTTCATTTGCCATATCATGTCAATAATAAATTACCCTCCTCCAACTGTTATTCATTACAAAAATTCACGAGCAAACTCTATTATGTTTGATGGCTCTTTGCTGATAGTTATACATTATAACATCATATGCTCAAATCTTTTGAATTTGCCAAAATCTAAATTTAATGTTTCGGCTTTTTGCTAGGAGCGTTAATTAATCGCATTAATCTGAATTTTCAACTTATTAAAAAAAAACATTGCGGACCAAACTTCGAAAACTTTAATGAACCCGAAAAAAGCTTTCATTTAAGCAAATTAACTTAATATATCATCAATCGAGCAGAGGAGATCAATCTTTAATCACGGAAAAAATACATTTCTATTTATAGTGGTTTCATCTCGATCACAAGCTGGTACATAATATCAAAGCTTGTGCATTAGATTTGTTTCAGATCTATGCCATGAAAAAGCTATTCATCCTGAACAGAACCGCATGCTTAATTGAACTCCCCAATCATTAACATTGTGGAATGCACCACTGCCTGATAAACAACAAATCTTGTAGCCTTGGAAATCTTAGTTTAAACCATCACGGTAGGTACACCTTCAGAGTTCAACCAAATAAATCTTTACAGTAAAATGCTCATTTTTTTACTCGATTTCTCCTTAGGAAAAAAAGCCATTTTACAATGTACTGTATTTACGCAGTTTTTATTATTTTGCATTTATTATATATAGACTAAATACAATAGTTAAGTCATTTTGCATTAGAAACTCTAGGGCATTTATATACTCGATTGTTCACTGCTTCTGGCCGTTCTCTTGCTACTGTCCTACAGTTATCTGCTGTCATTTAGATATTCACTTTAGCTAGGTACCGTATATCCACCTCAACTACCACCTAATGAAAGAGTTCAATATGTTCATCAAACTGAGGTTGTCAAACTGAGTGTTCACTTTGAGTTCCGATATCTGTTGTTAGGGAACCCCTGTAAATATATTTAATTTTATCGATAGTTAGGTTACGGGTTTGTCATTTTGTTTCTGAGTTACTATTACGTGACCTCGTGTAGACCCGCCGTGTAACTTGTCATTGCTAAGTGATCCACCACAGAGGTTAGTACTTGCATTGTTTATCGTGTGTAGATCTTCGTGTTGATATAGCGGTGGCTTTTTTGGTGATATTTAATATTATTATTTATATTAGTTTTTATTTATCTGTTATATTCATTTGTTAGAGTTCCGTTAATTCAAGTCCTTAATTTGTATTTATTCGTGTTTTTCAGCGGGGCTCCGAACCTAGGACATGACTAGGAATTAATAGCCAAGGGTTAGAAAGACGCACGGTTTACAGTTTTGTATTTTGTTTTCTTGTATTTATCGTTCATTTATTATTATACTTCTTTATTCTTCAGATTTTATTCATTCTTTATTTGCGATCATTGGTCAAGTGTTCGGGGTCAGAGAATGCTTATTTATTGACTGATCCCCAACTCTGCTACCTACAAATACAACAAATTACAACACACTTGATTTTCCTCAGTCCTTACTTGGGGAATTTGACATAAATTATAAGGTTTAAATGCTTGCTTATAAGGTTTAAATGCTTAAATCTCGAATGAGCAAGATAGCAAAATTTTCAAAAGACCAAATTTTATGTGTAGAGGTAGCAGGATAATTGTACTGCGCTCAACAATTATTTCATGAATATTATTCTTGACAACAGGTTCTAAAGATTGTTGCTTATGCCACTCTCATTTGATGTAATTATCCACCCTCGCTTGACTATCCTGCTCACATAGAAGGCAAACAGTATTCAGTGTCTTCGGGCAGCATTTAGTATGACAGTAGTTTAGTATCTATAACTTTCAAGTCAACACAAATGATGAACATTCTTCATTTAAACGCTTAATCTTAAGCATATTTTTGCTTATCCATCAAATCAGCCAAATTATCAATATGTGGATATTGTATTGATTGTAATTTGTCACTGATGCTCTGGAACGCCTGCGTGTGTATGACTATCTTGGTCTACAGTAAATTTTACTTTGAGCTCAATTCATAATCCTCCCGGTTAATTTTGAATTAACAAATTAACTATAATGATTGACAATCGATTTTTGCATTGATTTCAACTTCATATGTAAATTCTATAAAATGAAATGGACTAGCCATAGCAAAATTTCATTGTTACAATTGGCAAAAGCCAATTTGTGACCTCAGTGCCGGTCATACTTCAAATAATTTCTTTCCATGCAATCTCACAAGAACGAGCTCCCGAATTCCAATAATCAACGCTCAACACTTTATAATTCACGAACAAATGCACTATACTATGTCGAAGAATGTACGGGACGAGAGAAAATATTAGTTCTATTTATTTTTCTTATGTCAATAACATGAGTTAAATTGCCTCGGCCATTAAAAATTGATGTGATGTCTAGCGTTGCTAACGTGGTTATAGTATTCGGTAAAGTATTGAACCGTGAACCCTTTCAGTTCAATACTTCACCGAAGTATTCAGTTACTTCAGTTTACCAGTTGCTCTGACGAATGGAAGCGTTTACCATGTGTCTCCAAGGAAGCGGCCTAAGAAATAATACACGGTGAAGGTTTGGACTGGTCAATATGCCAAAATAAGGTTTATCATTTCGTAGAAAAATGTTTCACTAGAGTTCAATAGATAATAAAAGGAAGTTCTTTGTGCAGTGTGATTGCTAACAGCAGTAAATTATTTTGGTAAGCGATCTTACCTGATAAGAGCGTCGTATTGCTATCTCAATTACAGTGTTTGATAGGCCACATTTCTAATGCAGATTGCAATTATGCACATGTATGATCAACCAGAATTATGGGATATTTTCGCGCCAGCGTGCAGATTTGGCCCCTCCCCATTATTTTTAAACCCAGAAAAATGTCCCATTTCTCCGAATTTACATCCAATTATAGGCGTCAAAATGACAATCCTTTTGAAAAACAACATTCCAGCACGTATAGTTTCAAGATTAATGACAAAGGGACAAAGGTTAATTAAAATGACGTGTACAGGTTAACGATGATGCTGCATATATAACTGTGGAATTATGGCCAAATTCGGTGTTAGTTCAGTTAACAATTTTTCGCCACGAATTTTGATATGATGTAGCTTCATTTGCCGATGACCAATATGGTGTAAACCTTCCACTCACATATGCTGAGGCCATTGATACATGAATTTATTGTTGCCCAGGCTATCTTTTTCTAACTTATAAAGTGAATAAATGATCTTGAAATTTGTTTCCAATCTGTTATGTCTTGAGCATAACGTGTGAAAGCTTTTTGCAAAAGAATGTATAATACATGAAATATGACTTGGCATTGATTGTGATTGACGTCATTATAAATTTGAGAATAACGGTTTAGAATCAACTTGCATGATATCATAGAAATTGTGCTACTAAAATTGTTTTTGAATTATGTTAAGGCCGCACAAACACATTCTCAATAAATTCGCATTTAATTTCCATGAACCATATTATAATATTTAAAATACATGCCCTCGCATGTTTCGATCGTTTTTTATTACACCACTGAAACACCTCAAAAATACTCTCGGACGCAAAAATATTATCAAAATCTGTCATAAATCTTTTGAAGCTAATTTGTTTGAGTGCAAGTTTGAAACCTGGAACCATGAAAGTTCTTGTGCGTATCCACGATACTTATATAGTGAGTACATTAATCTGAAATTGTATTCAATTAAAGTGGGGGAGTTAGAAGACAGCAAAAAGCTTTGAACTCAGAACTCGAAGGATATGTTTCAATTCTTATAGAGAATAACGTCGCTTAAATTTTCATTCTGGGCTAGAATTCAACATGATAACAGAAGGTTATTCTAACGTTTATTCAACGTTGAACAACGGAGGTTGCTCCGACGTTGATTTAATCAGAAAATTCCGGCTTTGTTTCTATTATAATTGAAATTGCTGCATTGATAGCAGCTATATATATATCTGTGTCTTTTACCGAATTGTAATTGAGATTTGTGCAACAGGCATAAAATAATTAGTTTAAGTAACAGTAACTATAAATAAACATCAGACGATCTGTTTTTAAACATGAAGCAAAGTACTCGTTCAAAGTCATTCACACACAATGGAGGCAGAGCATCACAACAATTATCATGATAAATAAAAAACTGTTATTGTCCAAAGTGCCTAACCACACGTGCGAAATTACACGCATTAGCTATAGTAGTTCAGCCGAGGTATAAGCGAAGCGCAATAAAGCGGGGGACAACTAAACTGCCAATTCATTTGTATAATTGTTCATCCCTTGTTGAACATATTGCAAAATCCTTGTTAAAAACATTTTTACCTATCCCATTTCTTGTTCAAGATTTCCAAATTCTCCCAATGAGAATGTTAGATGGTTTTAGTGATTTATCTTTCACCTGGAGCTCGTTTACACGAGATCATAATAAAGACTAAACCTCGCCTAATAATCATACCAAATTGACATCTTCAAAGATCTATGCCGCTGTAGCATGCATGCAAAATCGATATCGAGTCACACTAGGCTGTTGGACACGTGGTTTGTCGCTTGTAACCAGGAAGTATTGGCATTGTATCTGTTGCACGCGCAGAGATAGGAAGCACATTCACTGTAGACAAGTTCACGCCATTCGTTGTCAAACAAAAATATTTAACCATACAGGGAACTAGAAATTTCTAATTCTTTGACGAATCTCCATCCAATGAGCAATTTAAAACATTTTAACGCAGTGGAAGAATATTTATGTAGATAAGGTCAAATAAAAGTTACTCTTATCAAGTTTTCACAACTCAGAAATTAAGTAACACTAAGTTTACTTTCCAGTGATTTTGATTTCATTTTCAGAAACTTGTATAAGAATTGAAATACCTACGACCTAGAGCTGTGTATGAACAAAGGAAGAGGCATGTTCTTCTCAAACGTGATTTGCTTGGTCAGTTTGTCGAGCAGTTTTAGCGCAGTTCAGGCGAGCACAATGACGCTCTTCACCGACGTAAAGATCGCGCAGGCTTGGACCACGTCTTACTTGGAGGCACCGAGCGCATGTGAGTCTCTCAGCTAATTTTTGCTTCTTTCAGGCATTATATGTATTTCTCTTTCCAAAGTTTAGATGGAAACTATCCATGCAAATTATTCATTCAATTTAACTGGACACGCGACAGTTCGAGCCTGAAAGTCTTTGAGGATGCGTAAAATGGTAGTCAAGTTTTTACGATGAAACCCATGATTAGACGAAACTATTGTTATTTTAAGACGGAACCCATGATTACATTTACTGTTCATCAAGTAAGAAAGTTTAGAAAAATATTTTATAAACTGCTTCCCTCACATCATTTAAAGTCCAGTTTATTATAATTTGGTGTATGAAAATATAATTGAAACATTCAGGAAATTGATAATCTCAATCGAGCTAAATGGATAAATGATTTTAACCGATGGGTTTGAAGCTAGATAACGAGATTAGAATGATTCAACTATTTTTATTTACAATTACTTAATAAATATTATTTTTTATTATAGTAATATTATATATTGATCCTAAGTGCCCAAAGAAAATTAAATTTAATGCTCATAGGTGATGCTACATTAATGTTGGTATTCTTCTATTTCTTGCAACATCGACCTTCGGGAAGTTATCATAAGTTTAGGTGACCATTTCATTTAGTACAACAAGTACGCAATCAAGTTCCTGGTTTTGGATCTGCATGTGTTCAATTACAATGATGGCTCATGGATCTGTTACTATAAACGCTGTTTGAATTTCGACAAAAATTATTTTCCAGGATAGTTTTCGATCATCAAGAACCACAGATCAGAATTGAACAACACAGATACCTTATCAATGTCCTCGCAATGCTCAGGCTAAACTGGTACTAACTTTACGGAGATTGTTTTGATTATAAAAAAATATCACTGTGTGCTAATCTAATAAATGAATCACAAAGTAACTGAAGTTTGATGGATTTCCCATTATTTAGTTGTACAGTGTCGATGCGAATGATACTTGAATTTCTACAGTAATCTGCAAGTTGGCTTAGAGAAGCATTATTGTTTCTACCCTTGTTTCACTTCACTTCGATATGCAGGGGACCACAAATAGCCAGCACAAGTTGCATGATTGCTTAAAAACAAATTCTTTCACTTCATGAACAAATGAATACCGGTCGGAAATATCATGCTGAATGCTATAATTTCTGTCATTGCCTGCAGTTCTGAGTTTACTTTGAACATTGATGATTTGAACATAGTAAAGACGAATGGCAGTGCAGCACGAACATCCTCAGCTACTATCAATTATTTATCAGACAGTGGTTAAAATTTGCATACTCCGAAATAGCTTTTCATGAAAGAATTGAATCTTGTTCGTTTTTTTCGGATTCGTAAGCACATTCAATGTAGTTACGTTGCAATTATTGTTATCTAATCCACCTTCTTTTAACTTCTGTGAAAAAATGGCACCGCCAATAATTGCAACTCGCCTTTGTATTAGGTAGGAAACCTCCAACGAAACTAGCCGTTGAGGATTATTTATACCGGTCGACCGAAGGTATGTATTCATGTCGATCTATCACTGAGAAATGTGTCAACTAACAGCTATTAAGTTTAAATGTGGTTGGCTATCTGTACAAAGCAATTGGGGTGTTTTTGTTTTGTAAACTGGAATTCACGATTGGCCTGGAATTGGTTCACAAGGCAGCATTAAATTTGCTCAGCGTGGAAAATCGAATCGCGGCATCATTTTCAAGAAGAACGGCCTGTTCTCCGGCGTGTTCTGCTTGGCCAGTTTGGCGAGCAGTTTCAGCGCAGTTCAGGCGAGCGCAATGGCGCTCTTCGCCGACGTAAAGATCGCTCAGGCTTGGACTACGTCTTCGTTGGAGGCACCGAGCAAATGTGAGTTACTACTAAACAAACGAATTTCATTTAATTGGTTTGCAAACGAATTGCAAAATTAATCTCTGAAATTTAAAATCGTCTTTTTATTGAATTTTCATTCATCAAAATCTTGATCAGAATTTTTTATTTTGCCAAATTTTCTCCGCGTACATACGAAATGTCTAGCTGCTGGTGGCTCTTCTGACAAACATTGAGCAATTATGTATCCTTTTGTAATTAGAGACCATAGAAGAGTAGTATTTTGGAATAATTCATGAAACAAAATCACACACAAAATAAATTCAAAAAATTTGACAAAATAACGAGAAATTCGACCAGCAAGCTAGATATTGTGTTTCACAAGGGTAGTAAAAATATCATCAAATTATACGCCAGTTCACGGAAATGTCCTATGATGATGTCTCAAAGCTGCCGCAAATAACAGATCACAGTAAAATCATTAATTCGTTTTAACCAACACTTTTATAGTGTAAAACATTATAGCATCATAGCATCGCTAAAATATCGTCTAAATGTTGTTGTCCATTTTTTTCTCCGAAAAAACATCTTATGATCCAGCTGTTTGCCCTTAATGCCTCAGGCGTGTGCCGGAATCGGTGCTTCGTGGACACGCGGTGCCTGGCGGTGTCCATCACTCAGGCGGCCTCCGTGTCCAAGTGTTACTTCAGCAGCAGCGCCTCGGTGCTCACCAACTTACTCATCACAGACTCGGCCTTCATCACCTTCATTAAGAATAAAGGTGTTCAAGATTTTTGAAATTTCAAGTTCAGGTGACACTCCTTCAGATTGCATTTAAACAAATTTATGATATCTTGCAATATTCAATAAACTGAATATGAAATTTTCGTAATTTTGTGTTCACTTCGGTGACAACTTGACTCATTAATTCACGACACACCGAAAAAAACTTGAACGAATTATAAGGTGACAAACATCATTCGCGATACAGTTCGTTCAAACTATATACTTTTAACCTTCGATCCTATTGCCACATTATGACGGTAATACTTGCCTCATATGAGCATTTCAGAAATGAATTTGGAAGGAAATACAGGAACGAAATTATACCTCGAACCTATTCGTGCCTTCATGAATTCATCTGTTACTATTAATTGCCATCTCAATTAATAAATTTCATGATCAGCGTCTTTTTGAAAGTTTTTTTTGCTCCTCTTGTTCATCATCATTTCCATGATACCAGAGGCGTTCGTCTCCACCTTCCACCGGTCCGTTTAGAAATAGAGAAAAATGGTACTGTTTTTAATTGTGTAAAACATTTTGATGAACTGCCTGATGATTTCAGAATAAACTGTTCTAAATCCATTTTAAAGACAAAATTTCGCGATCATATTCTTGCTCAATATTAATTTAACTTTGTTTATCATATAGTTTTTTTATTGTGACAATTTACTTATGTACAGCCTTTACTTTACAATGTAATATTTGTATTAATTTCTGTTGTACATGTTGCCACTATTACGTTCATACTTGTCACCTATTACGCCTGCGAAGCTTTTTTATAGCTTGTATAGGCTTTTCACCTGGAAACTTTTATTTCTAAATAGCATGTTTTTTTCTCTTTCTATTGAGTCGTGCTGTGTTGCTTTTGTGTGTAAAAGAATAAAGAATAAATAATAGTTAAAGGTGAATTAAATAATTTGCATCATCCATAATGCATACATGTATATACTTGCTCAGTGACACTGTTGGCTGCAGCATCTAAAATTACATCTACCAGCATCACAAGTGAAACTATAATTTTAAACCGAACATTAAAATCAGGTTGTTTTTCAATATATCAGGTTGTTTTTCATCATATAAAAGCAGACTTTGAGCAGTGAATGAAATGTAAACGGTCATTTAATTTGGTTATACGATATCGTAATATTAATAACAAAATTTAAGAAACAGGATTGCTAGGCTGACTGTTTCGTCCATCAGGATATAATTGGAATTTGGAAATTTGGAAATAAATAAATACCATGTAAGTCTTGATTTACAGGCATGAAGGGAGGAAATTAGATCACAGCTCTCAGCGGAAAATACTTGAATCAGCTAACACAAGACTGAATAATCAGATCACCGTTACTTAAATTTTTAGACCCATAACAAAAGACCGTCAAATAAAAGATGAAGGTGAATAACACGACACGGCAATCATCTTCTATTGACGAGAATCAATATCTATAGCTACCAATTAAAATTCGAGCGATCGGCTTGAGCCGCAATCAACATCGTACGTGGCGGGGGACCTGTAACCCTGCTTTAGCCCAGATCAGCTCTAGCCACAATAGTTTACATTACAAGATCGGTTTTAGCCGCATTCAACATCGTGGCGGGGGACCCGTAACACGGCGTTAGCCAAGATCGTTTACATTACAAGATCGGCTTTAGCCGCAATCAACATCGTACGTGGCGGAAGATCGTTTACATTACAAGATCGGCATTAGCCGCAATCAACATCGTGGCGGGGGACCCGTAACTCGGCTATATAGCTAAGATCGTATACATTACAGGATCGGCTTGGACATGGACTAATTCGCGGAGTCCGGCCGAACTTCCATATTATCCCAACTTCCAGGCATGCTAAAGGTCAACGGTCGCTTGGAGACTCGAACTATACAATCACATATCCATTAACAGGAAATTGAAAAGTTTTCATTTGCCATGTCATGTAAATAATAAATTACCCTCCTCTAACTGCTATTCATTACTAAAATGCACGAGCAAACTCTTCATGTTTGATGGCTCTTTGCTGATGTTATACATTATAACATCATATGCTCAAATCTTTTCAATTTGACAAAATCTCAATTTAATGTGTCGACTTTTTTCTAGGAGCGTTAATTAATCGCATTAATCTGAATTTTCAACTTATTAAAAAAAACATTGCGGACCAAACTTCGAAAACTTTAATGAACCCGAAAAAAGCTCTCATTTAAGCAAATTAACTTAATATTTCATCAATCTAGCAGAGTAAATCAATCTTTATTCACGGAAAAAATACATTTCCATATATAGTAGTTTCATCTCGATCACAAGCTGGTACATAATATCAAAGCTTGTGCATTAGATTTGTTTCAGATATATGCCATGAAAAAGCTATTCATCCTGAACAGAACCGCATGTTCGATCCGGCTCCCCAATCATTAACATTGTGGAATGCACCACTGCCTGATAAACAACAAACCTTGTAGCCTTGGAAATCTTAGTTTAAACCATCACGGCAGGTACACCTTCAGAGTTCAAGCAAATGAATCTTTACAGTAAAATGCTCATTTTTTTACTCGATTCCTCCTTAGGAAAAAAAGCCCTTATAAAATGTATATACGCAGTTTTTATGTTTATGCATTTACTATATATAGATTAAATACAATAGTTATGTCATTTCGCATTAGAAACTCTAGGGCATTTATATACTCGATTGTTCACTGCTTCTGGCCGTTCTCTTGCTACTGTCCTAGAGTTATCTGCTGTCATTGAGATGTTCAATTTAGCTGGGTACCACATATCCACCTCAACTACCATCTAATGAAAGCCCAAATCGTTTAACATATTCATAAAACTGAGGTTGTCAAACAGTGTTCACTTTGAGTTCCGATATCTGTTTCCCACAAATACAACACACTTTATTTTCCCCAGTCCTTACATAGGGAATTTGGACATAAAATGTTTAAATGCATGCACTATCTCGAACGATCAAGTTAGCAAAAATTTCAACAGACCAAATTTTATGTGTAGAGGAGGAAGGATAATTGTACTGCGCACAACATTTATTCCATGAATATTATTCTTGACAACAGGTTCTAAAGATTATTGCTTATGTCACTCTCATTTGATGTAATTATCCACCCTCACTTGACTATCCTGCTCACATAGAAGGCAAACAGTCTTCAGTGTCTTCGGGCAGCATTTAGTATGACAGTAATTTAATACTATAACTTTCAAGTCAACACAAATGATGAACATTCTTCACTTAAACGCTTAATCTTTAGCATATTTTTGCTTAACCATCAAATCAGCCAAATTTTCAATATGTGGATATTGTATTGATTGTGTTCACTTATTTATAACGGCAGACCTGACGAGGGCAAAACAATTATAACAATTGGTACCTTGATCGTCGCTCCACTCTAAATTATGCATGGGTACCTCAAATTGCAGGGCTCGTTTTTCTGGCACGTGTATTCTGTCACGTGTATTTCTGTCACGTATATTCTGTCACGTGTATTTCTGTCACGTATATTCTGTCACGTGTATTTCTGTCACGTATATTCTGTCACGTGTATTTCTGTTACGTATATTCTGTCACGTGTATTTCTGTCACGTATATTCTGTCACGTGTATTCACGTGTATTTCTGTTAGCCCTGCATTTGAATGAGTACAACAAATGTGAGGAGCCATAGGTATTTCTTTATCTCTCAATTTATAATCAAATTAGAAATGCAAGGCTTCTTCATCACTGGTGTGATAGTACATTTACTTGAAACCAATATCACTTTGCCGCTGAAATGAATAATGAATCTGATATATCAACACACTGTCTTGTTAGATTGAAATTAATGAAATAAGGCCAGTATATAGGCCCATCATAATATGATCTCATACTTGCAAGCTGTAAACGTTCTAACGTGCACATTTCGCAAGCAGAAAACGTTTTGAAAAACAAAAAGGAGCAAATTTATTGGGTCATAAACGTTAGAAAAAAACAAATTTTTAGATTTTGATAGATGTAACCGTTCTAATAATGAGAATGCCTGTAATTTCTAGCCAAAAAAAGCTTTGTTACCCATGCGGGCATCGCAAGTGTACTTTGTTACCCTTTGTTGTTACCTGCAATGCGGGCATCGCTCAGCACGTCTGGCAATGCATGCACCGATATCATTTTCGGTGACCAGCAGCATTAATGTTATCCATTTTATATTCGGATGAGAAAATTGTGAATGTAAGTTCACAATGATTAGAAAAGAGCACCATATTTTGCCTTATAAAGAGCACCATCATGACAGAAGGTAATTTTACCAACGTATAATTATTTGATCGATAGAAGTCGATAGACATGATTTATGTAATTTGAATTCCTGTGTAAATTATAGACAATATTTGTCACAGATGCTCTGGAACGCCTGCGTGTGTATGATCATCTTGGTCTACAGTAAATTTTAATCTGAGCACAATTCATAATCCTCCCGGTTAATTTTGAATTAACAAATTAACTATATTTAATTGACAATCGATTTTTGCATTGATTTCAACTTCATATGTAAATTCTATAAAATGAAATGGACTAACTATAGCAAAATTTTATTGTTACAATTGGCAAAAGCCAATTTCTGACCTCAGTTCCGGTCATACTTCAAATAATTTCTTTCCAAGCAATCTCACAAGAACGAGCTCCCGAATTCCAATAATCAACGCTCAACATTTTATAATTCACGAACAGATGCACTATACTATGTCGAAGAATGTACGGGGCGAGAGAAAATATTAGTTCTATTTATTTTTCTTTTGTCAATAACATGAGTTAAATTGCCTCGGCCATTAAAAATGGATGTGATGTCTAGCGTCGCTAACGTGGTTATAGTATTCGGTGAAGTATTGAACCGTGAATCAACACAGAGCATAGGAGAAAAATAATCTGTGTTTGCCTACGTTCTATGTGCGTGACATGTAATCGAAAAAAAAAAAATTAAAATGGCACGCCGTAAGGTTGAAACCCTTTCAGTTTACCAGTTGCTCTGACGAATGGAAGCGTTTACCATGTGTCTCCAAGGAAGCGGCCTAAGAAATTATAAACGGTAAAGGTTTGGACTGGTCAATATGCCGAAATAAGGTTTATCATTTCGTAGAAAAATGTTTCACTAGAGTTGGATAGATAATACAAGGAAGTTCTTTGTGCAGTGTGATTGCTATCAGCAGTAAATTATTTTGGTAAGCGATCTTTCTTGATAAGAGCGTCGTATTGCTGTCTCAATTACAGTGTTTAAAAGGCCACATTTTAATGCAGATTGCAATTATGCACATGAATTATTTATTGGATATTTCGCACCAGCGTGCAAATTTGGCCCCTCCCCTTTAGTTTTGAACCCAGAAAAATATCTCATTTCTCCGAATTTACATCCAATTATAGTCTTCAAAATGACAATCCTTTTGAAAAACAACATTCCAGCACGTATAGTTTCAAGATTAATGACAAAGGGACAAAGGTTAATTAAAATGACGTGTACAGGTTAACGATGATGCTGCATATATAACTGTGGAATTATGGCCAAATTCGGTGTTAGTTCAGTTAACAATTTTTCGCCACGAATTTTGATATGATGTAGCTTCATTTGCCGATGACCAATATGGTGTAAACCTTCCACTCACATATGCTGAGGCCATTGATACATGAATTTATTGTTGCCCAGGCTATCTTTTTCTAACTTATAAAGTGAATAAATGATCTTGAAATTTGTTTCCAATCTGTTATGTCTTGAGCATAACGTGTGAAAGCTTTTTGCAAAAGAATGTATAATACATGAAATATGACTTGGCATTGATTGTGATTGACGTCATTATAAATTTGAGAATAACGGTTTAGAATCAACTTGCATGATATCATAGAAATTGTGCTACTAAAATTGTTTTTGAATTATGTTAAGGCCGCACAAACACATTCTCAATAAATTCGCATTTAATTTCCATGAACCATATTATAATATTTAAAATACATGCCCTCGCATGTTTCGATCGTTTTTTATTACACCACTGAAACACCTCAAAAATACTCTCGGATGCAAAAATATTATCAAAATCTGTCATAAATCCTTTGAAGTTAATTTGTTTGAGTGCAGGTTTGAAACCTGGAACCGTGAAAGTTCTTGTGCGTATCCACGATACTTATATAGTGAGTACATTAATCTGAAATTATATTCAAAGTGGGGGAGTTAGAAGACAGCAAAAAGCGTTGAACTCGGAACTCGAAGGGTGTGTTTGAATTCTTATAGAGAATAACGTCGCTTAAATATTCATTCTGGGCTAGAATTCAACATGATTACAGAAGGTTATTCCAACGTTGATTTAACGTCGAACAACGGAGGTTGCTCCGACGTTGATTTAATCAGAAAATGACGGCTTTGTTTCTATTACACTGTTAGAAAAATTACCGTTAACGGTATTATACCGGCGTTTCAGTGGCCGGTCGGCACGTGAAAAAAACACCGTTTCGCCGTTTTTACTCTAATTTAACACTATAAATCCGTAAAACATCTGATAAAAACGGTGAAACAGTTTATTTTCACGGGGCGACCGGCCACTATATAGAACGCCAGTGGGACCGTTTTTTCACCGTTTTTTCTAACAGTGTATAATTGAAATTGCTGCATTGATAGCAGCTATGTATATCTGTGTCTTTTACCGAATTGTAATTGAGATTTATGCAACAAGCATAAAATAATTCGTTTATGTAACAGTAACTATAGATAAATATCAGACGATCTGTTTTTGAACATTAAGCAAAGTACTCGTTCAAAGTCATTCACACACAATGAAGGCAAAGCATCGCAACAATTATCATGATAAATAAAAAACTGTTATTGTCCAAAGTGCCTAACCACACGTGCGAAATTACACGCATTAGCTATAGTAGTTCAGCCGAGAAAAGATCGCGCAGGCTTGGAACACGTCTTACTTGGAGGCACCGAGCACATGTGAGTCTCTCAGCTAATTTTTGCTTCTTTCAGGCATTATATGTATTTCTCTTTCCAAAGTTTAGATGGAAACTATCCATGCAAATTATTTATTCAATTTAACTGGACACGCGACAGTTCGAGCCTGAAAGTCATTGAGGATGGATAAAGTGGTAGTCAAGTTTTTACGATGAAACCCATGATTAGACGAAACTATTGTTATTTTAAGACGGAACCCATGATTACATTTACTGTTCATCAAATAAGAAAGTTTAGAAAAATATTTTATAAACTGCTTCCCTCACATCATCTAAAGTCCAGTTTATTATAATTTGGTGTATGAAAATATAATTGAAACATTCAGTAAATTGATCATCTTAATCGAGCTAAATGGATAAATGATTTTAACCGATGGGTTTGAAGCTAGATAACGAGATTAGAATGATTCAACTATTTTTATGTACAATTACTTAATAAATATTATTTTTTATTATAGTAATATTCTAATACATATTAATCGCAGGAATACATGATGGAAGTTGGCAAAACGTAAGGATGTTGCATGCAGTTTATGGCTTGACGACATAAAAGAACTTATTCAAGGTTATTGATTTCCATTTTAAGGGCTGGGAATTCTAAAATTTTTGAGGGTATAGATTATCTCGTTTATACACAATACAATGATCAAACACTTTGTTTTCAAACGCTGTGTTATTTAAGATATATTGAATATGGAGCGTCAATAATCGCCGTGGATAATAATTATTATACAAAATGTATATTTGTTTGTCATCAAGCAATTTGTTTGTACCTAAATAAATTTTTTTATGTCTCGTATCGTTAATAAAAGTTAAGAATGTTTTTCACTTGACATAATGATATGATTGATATGATTGATTTAATGATATGACATACAGATATGATTGACTGCCGCAATCATAAATGGCTTCAATAATTTTGCAAATACAGTATAATCGTTCGGATAATAATTAATTAGTTCCTCTGAGGAGTAGCTAAGAAGTAGATTTGTTGTGAATTTTTTTTGGTTGTCTTTATATGTGAGCTAATTTGTAAATTTATGTGCATCTATTAATGAAATATTCCTGAGTTCTGAATATTAGGTTCAGAAAGGAAAATTTTTCTCAGCGATTTAATCAGAACAGCGTAGTACGAACAGATTTTCTCAAGACTGCTACAAAATGATGCCAAATGATTATATCGCGATCACATAATACCAATTTTCCATCTTGGTATATGATTATTGTATGCCGATATTGGAGCTTTGTTCTAAGAATTGTAGCGGAGTCATCCCAGCCGGTGCATTCTACAATGGGGCATGGATAATTGAGACGGTGAAATCATTGTAATGAATATAGTAGAATAATCCTATTCTGCCTCAGGCGTGTGCCGGAATCGGTGCTTCGTGGACACGCGGTGCCTGGCGGTGTCCATCACTCAGGAGGCCTCCGTGTCCAAGTGTTACTTCAGCAGCAGCGCCTCGGTGCTCACCAACTTACTCATCACGGACTCGGCCTTCATCACATTTACGAAGCAAAAATGTATTTTATGTGTTTTTCATACAATTGTTGTTTCGGTATTGTTTTTATAGTATTTAGGCAGCAAAAAATATGCCAAATTTGAATATCCCCTCTGAATTTTATTTATTTTAACGTTACTCTCCACAGAAAGTTGTGGAAAGTAACGTGATTTGTTTCCTAAATGCATCAGAAATAGAAAACAAACCGCGAGTAAACTTATCTCTCATTATATTGCGAAGCCCCAACAGGTTTTGGCTTGTCGAATTGTGGTGTTATCGAACCGCAATCCCATATATTCTATTTATAAACGATGTGGCCCTCTATAGTCTACAATTAAAGCATTTGGATGCATTACTGCTTCAAATTCCATTCAGAAGATAAATTAAGTCCCAGCATTAGTAACATTGGATATTTTTATTGGAAATGTGACATAAAAATTTATTTAACTCCCACCAGATGCGTGTATGCCGGGCTTTGAAGCTGTGGGCGGATTTTGCTACTTTTTCTCTACCAATAAAACCGACTTTGCTACGGCTAAAAGCTCGTGCCCATTGGGCAGCGTGCTCGCCTATCCATCCTCTGCTGCCCAAATGGTTGATCTCGTGGCTTACCTCAAAAGCAGTGAGTCAAAAATAGACGGTTCAATTATTGTTCTGTTTAGGTTCAAAGTGAACGTGAAGTCGAGGATTTGAATTGCTACGTTTACTGCGCTCAGTTTCTTATTCGGTATCAGGCATTTTGTCACGGATGCTTAAAATCGTGCATTTACAATCATTCACCGGTTGACACATAAGGTAAACTGTTAATGCTTAAGGCATTATCGTCTCATTGACTTTTGTGTTATAATTAGAACTGTCTGAGTTGGGAAGTTATTTAATGAGGTAAATCAACGCTCATCGAAACTGTAGTACGACATTTCATTAATTTCTTCAGAAACAACAAATGGAAAATATGTGGAATGATGGAATTATAAATTTCAAGGACAACATTTTGAAATCACTCGAAATTTTATCCGGTTCAGTTTTGATGTGTTCAAATTGATTAAAAAGAATAGCATGAGAACTACATTATTTCCTACTTACAAACAAGAATTGAGCTGCAAATAACATTAGGTACAACCAGGATAAGCTGAACTTTTTCTGGTTCATTCTGCAAGCAGCAAGAAAACTTGAAACAAGGCAATAAATAACGAGATTATTATCATTCAATTTCTCAGTTCTTTGCGTGCATCACTTTACATTTTTTGTTAGCCAATTAACTCCCTCAGTCATTCGTTCTGCTCATGAAGTCACTCACTCAGCTTTCGAGCTGGACTCAAATCAGTCGAGATCGCAGCAATTTGTTTTCTTCAAGGGTGATGGATCGATGACTGCTCTAATGATAGTGCATGGATGTGTCATGGTGCAAAGTTAACACAGGGTGTATCTTTCGTGACCTGTTATTTGAATAGTAATGATATCAATCATTGACTGGAGTCATTTATTTCCACAAAGTCATCGTTTTAGTGGCCCAAATTCATATTATAATCTTCCTTGCTCCAGCTGAAGAATCTTGCTTGAATTACAGAAAGAAGAAGTAAACTTAGATTTTGTGAAAACAATTTTTGCGCTCATATACATGAATGGCAGCAGATGGTTCTAGGCTTGACGAATGTATTATCTTGCAAATTGTATATATGAAGCTCGTGTGGAGCTTTGAATTTTTCCACTTGACCCTGACATTCGCCATGTGCGTGCTATACATAGCCCAATGAATGCATGAGGCGAAGGCTTGGATATTTGATTTGAATCGAAGTAAACAAAATCAAATCCGATTTTCTATTCCGAGTTCAATAAAATTGTATGCTCAATGAATGCACCCTAATGAATGGGCGCGTGTTTCTTCATTTACAGACCTGTCTGGAATAAACGACTGGTGGGTCGATTTGACTCTGAATGCGGGCCTGTGGTTCTGGAAGGACGGAACTGTCACCACGGGAGGAGGTTTAGCTAACGATCCTAATCACGCCTGCGCCAGACTCGATGCTCACTACCAGCCACATGACGAATCGTGCACAAAAATTTATTGTTTCGTTTGCCAGTACAAGGTGTGAGCTTGAGTTCTCCACTGTACTCATTGTACTGGTGAAACCAATTGTTCGTCATTCCGCTCGCGCATATATTACGACAGTTAAAATTATCCCGCTTTATGAATTTCGAACGCAACAGTCACATGAAAATCCTTGTAAACGTAATAGATTAACTCAGTTACTAGCATTTTTTTTAAATTCAGAGAATGTCGAGAACAAATGTGCACCATACCTACATGAATGATCTTAAAATCAAAAACCTAATTTTTGACGATTTAATAGCCAAAATGACAGTAAAAACACATTTTGCCCAGAAACCCGATGCCTTTTTTTTAACGAGTTCAAAGAAAAACTTTGAACCACGTTAGAAATTCTATTTCAATGTCCGAATTGTGCAAATAAAAAATATATTGACTACAGTCAAAAAACACAAATTAATAGGATTTTTTTCCATGTTCGAAATACCTAAATTGCCAGTAGTGGGCGAATCGCTTGAAATACGAGTAATACATTGCCCAAAGTTAACCATTCGGTTTTAGTTTTCCAACTGAACTTATTAGCAGTAGAAAATTGTCCAAAGTCAAGAATCCTGTTCCAGTGTTCAAACTGCACAAATTACCAGTTGTGTATTATTTGAAGTCAGTTATTTTATATCTTCGTTAAACTGAACAAATTACATTGAATACATTCTTAACAGTCGGTCATTCTGTACCAATGTTTGAACTAGAAAAATGTTACCAGTAGTGCATTGTTTAACGTAGAAATATTTTATTTGTTAGAACTGCACAATTAAATAAGCAGCTGTGCATGTTCAAACTACTGAAATGAACTGCCGTGAATTGTTACCACTGCCCAAATTACGAGTAGTGCATTGCTTAAACTGCATAAGTTTCCTGCACTGCACAATTTAACACGTTTACTCCGAGTGCTTCATCTTTTACTATTATTCCATTTTTTCTACTATTATGAAACATGGCTGCCAAAAAGTTTTTTTCAAGACAAATTCCTTGATTTGTTTTTTTTTTCATTGCGTTGGCCGTCTAAAACTTATGGTAGTGGTACTTTTTAATTAAAAAAACGCGAAACTAAATTTTTACACCGGAACTCGCAAATATACTAGTATAAATTGAGTTATAGGCCTTTCTTGTTCTTTTTTTGGTTCGCAGACTTGACCGTTATTTAGGCCATCTGGCAACCATGAATTATGTACCGCTACGTACGTCCAGGAGAAATCCATTTCTGGTACGCATGTGCGTCACTTCGGAGTCAACGTGTTAAATTGCACAAGTTACCTGTTCTGGATTGTTAGAACTACACAAAAACATGAAGTTTACAGCATAAACTGCACAAATTACCCGCAGTGCATTAAATTACGATATGCGTAACTGCCAGTGCTTGTTATTTCACAAATGACTTGTGGTGCAAGTTTAACTTCGCAAATAGCCTCTATACTGCATGTTTAATTCACAAATGACCTGCGGTGCATCGGTTAACTTCACGAATTACCCATAGTTCATTGTTTAAATTACAAATAACTTGCAATGCATTGTTTAACCTCACGAATAATCTGCAGTTCATTGTTTAACTTCTCGAATAACCTGCTGTGAATGTTTAACTTCGCAAATAACCCGCAATGAATTGTTTAAATTCACAAATAACCTTCAGTGCATGGTTTGGGTATACACAGATCCGCAGTGCATTGTTTGACTTTACAAATAACCAACAGAGGTTTGTTTAACTTCACAAACAACCTGATGCGCATTGTTTGACTTCACATATAACCTGCAGTAAATTGTTTGACTCACCAGTAACCTGCGGTGCATTGGTTACCTTCACAAATAACCAGCAGTGAATTATTTAAGTCCGCTAATTACCAGTAGTGCATGGTTTGAAAAAACTGTTTCACAAAACTCATGGCGTTCATATCACCAGGTAGACGTGATTGACATTCTGCTACAACAAACCAAACGCAATTCAGAAAAATCTTGAAATTTGGTTGAGGTGCTACACAAGGATTTTTAGAGAATTAATTTAATTATGAATTGATTATCTCTTTAGTGGCTGCAATTATGACGGTGATCGCTTTGATCGAAATTTCAAATATTAAGTTTCGCATGAAATAAAGACATGAGGTCAGTGGCCAGCAAGCAAAGTTGATCAGAGATGGTAATGTTATTTATTAATTGTATATCTAACTATAATTATAATGGTTTACTAAAACATTTAAATAGTTAATTTGGTCTAATTAGCAGACCATCTGCGCACCAACGTACCAACATTCATATTGTTCCTTAATAAGGGGGAGGTATACCCTAAAATTTCGAATTTGGCATTTCTGTTATTTAGTATCATCTTAAAGCTGACATTCTTCCCTATCCAACGATACCACTGCGATCCCTGTACGTGAATTTATACGTACATGACGGCTCTTTAAAAGAGGGCGGGTGGGGGAGTTCCTTCACTAATTAGATGCAAGGTAATTAGCTGCTGAGTATTTTAAATATAGTGTCTGATTGAGTTGCGCTTTAGTTACTCGTTTAGTTTCATCTTTAAGTTGACATTCTGAGTTATCCAACGATACCACTGCAATCCCTGTACGTGAATTTATGCGTACACGGCTGCTCTTTAAAGGGGGGCGGGGGGGGAGTTCCTTCAGTAAATGGATGGGGCGAAATTCGCTGGCCAGCACAAGATATATGGTGTTTTCTGGCATCAAGGCTCAGTCACCCTCCTCGCTTCGTACGGAGAGGTGTACTGCAAGTATCTGCTACCATCCTTGAGTGGAAGGAAGCTACAGAAGCCTGTAGTTTGGTATCCATGCTACATTGAGTGCCTATTTCGAGGCGCGCGGGACTTTGTCGCGCTGTCCTGAAAAGTTTAACTTATTGTCACGAAAAACCTATCTCCTCCTAGAGTTTTGAAGCTAAAGCCATTGGACATATACCATTCGATTTGTAAAGACCATACCTATCGAGTAACGAAGCCCTTTTTTAAATTTGTGCATAGTTTGGATTCAAAATGGGGGGGAAAGGGGAGGGGATATCTGAAGAAAAAAATTTTTAAATGCGTGCAAAAAAAACTAAGGCGATGATAAAAAATCGGGCTTCGTTACTCGATTGGTATGGTCTTTAAGAATCGAATGGTATGTATCTCATCGCTGTAGATTCAAAACTCTAGGAGGAGTAGGATTTATACAGTACCCCTTTTTGGCCGTTTACTATGAATTTCACGTTTTCTATGCATTTCTTTTAAAAAATTACATGAACAAA